GGTTAGTGACTGACCTGCTCTGCCACCTGAGCTACAGCCACCCATAAGAACAATGGAAAGAACAATGGAACCTTTTTTGAAAATGACGCAGCGTCCAAATCACCCAATATGTAGACATCAGCTAACTGCACATATTGTGCAAACAGCTGCTGTCATACAAAATCATCTACATACTGAACAAAAAGGGGAGGAAATAATGAGTTCCCGAAGCTGCTGACGGTGCTTTTGTTTACATAGACGTAATTAATAATGAATCACCAAAATATTGCACATATTGTGCTGATTTCACAGTAATCAGTGCAATATGTTCTGATTTCAAAATGTATGTGCAATCAGCTGATGTTGTACAAAATTGTACATTAACCTAACCGGGCCTTTTTTTCTTTGTACATATGACAATAAACGCTTTAAACCTTTGAAAATTGTATGAAAAGGTGAGAAAAAAAAGAGTTCCTGAAGTTGCTGATGGTGCATTTGTTGGCTTGACGTAATTAGTAGGTCCATTTTAATTTGATATGCTCAGGCATGTAAACTGTATTATTGTTAGTGAATTAATGTTAGCTATGAGATTTTAAAATTGCACTGCTTAACCCAAAATAGTTTCAGAGACTATGGCAAAAAACAAACAAAAAAACATAAACAAAACAAAACCCCACAGAACCAATTACAATCTCTGTAATCCAGAAAGTGAGACTTTTAAGCGCAAGTGTAAAGGTATCATAAAGAGCTACACTTACATACAGACCAAAATAAGAATAAAAAAACAACAACAACAACAGAGAAAAACAAAAAAAGGTTTATTGAAATGCTGATAAGCCAAATTCCAGAGCCAAACAAAAAAAAAGGCAAAAACACAAACCACAAAAACTGTAAGCATAGGAGATGAAAGAAGAAAGGAAGTAAAAGCGAACATAACACATGAGAAAACAAATGGTCAAACTACAACAGGAAGTCAAATAATACTAAAACATGACAACATCCAAACCTGAAATACTGAACATAAAAACAATAAAAGGGGAACACAGAAATCAGAGGGCATGACAACAAAGCCAACCAACCTAACATGGATCACAACACGAGTGCAATCAAACTGTGTCATCACACACAGAAAGGTTTAAATCAATGAAAATCGGTATAGCGGCAGCCATTACATGCTGCTCGTGTGTCTGTTCTGGAGAAACCTTACCGTTGTAACAGCCTGGTTCCGGCGACTACCCATCTCTGCACATGTATGTACGGACCGAGTAGAGCCGTGTAGACCTGGCTAGTGTGGTCTTATTTTGCTGACAGCGAATAAAGGTCTGTTGTTTGATTCAACTGACTGGCTTTGAGTTATCCGGCTAACCTCCACACCTCATGCCCGCTGGACCTGCTAGCCGCTCCTTCCTCGCCAGACTGCTGTTCCTGAGGAACGCGAAAGGAGACCTTCGGCGTTCTTATGGTACAGCTTATGGACAGCTTCTGATTCTGGATTTTTCTATTTTTCCTTTCAAAAACAGAAAGAAACTTCCATTGTATCATTCCACACATGCAGAAAAAACTGACGTAGTCTCCAAGTCTGGTAAGTGAAGGCAAAGACTGGTAGAGTCCTCCAGCTAGAGAAACACTCCTAGCTGTATAGAGGTCTATGAGAAAATGGCCCTCAGCTCCATTAATCTATAATCTATATCTATAATCTTCCCCATGACCTTCACCCATGACCCATAACTTAATATTTCCCCATGAAATATCAAGTTAATTTGTAAATTATGGTCATAATAACAGGCAGAATTCAAGTTATTCTAGGTATGCTTGTCGGCTAAGGACTTAAAGAAGCTCAGATATAGAAACACAGGGAGGAGGGTAGTGTAAGGGAGGTGGGAGGTGGCATCCATCTCATGTGGTGAAGGTGGCTGTCTTGTCCTAATAACCAGCCTTCCAAGATCCAGTGTCCTTGGATCTTGGCTCATTCTTCACCACCTGGCTCAACCATAGTGGAAATCCTCAGCTCCAGATTTATTAAACCGGATTTTACAGGAAACAAAGCAATAATTAAACCTTGATTACATTTAAGTACAGCTTAAGTAATTTTAAGTAGTGTAATTGGTATCATGGTAATTATTTTTAGAAAAACCAAAATAAAACACAAAACATTCCCAATCTTAAATTGTTTTTTTAATTAATTACTTGCTGTTTGTTTTTAAATTTTCCTCGCTAAATATCTGTTGGGGTGACACGGACCATCATATTGTACTGTGTGTTCTGTCTGTCTGTCTGCCAGCCTGCCAGCCTGCCGCGTTAGTTTATTTTGTATGCTAGTTCAGCCAGTTTTCTGTTTTGTCGTCCAGCATTAAAGCCTTATTTAAGTTCACCTTTTGTTTCCGTGAGTCTGCATTTTGGGTCTTTTTCCTGCCTGCACACAGCCTTCACTTGACAGAAGATCGCGACCATATTATGGACCCAGCAGACATCGAACTTCAGGAGCGACGCCGAGCAGCCTTTGTCCAGCTGGAGGAGGAACTCCGCTGGAAGCCATGGCTCACCCCTGACGTCGGGCGCATTTTCGTTGAAACCAAGCACACCATTGTTTTTCTTGTGACATTACCAATAAGTTTGATGTGTCACATGGCCCTCTTCCTTTTGAAAAAACAAAAGTTTTATCCAAGATGGCCGACGTCTAAATGGCCACCATGGTCATCACCCATCTTGAGGAGTTTGCCCCCTCACATATACTAATGTGCCACAAACAGGACTTTAATATCACCAACCATTCCCATGTTATTACGGTGTATCCATATAAATGGCCCACCCTGTACTTCAAATAACTCACGCTATACCTTGTATTTCCTTCCCTGTAAAATATTTAGGCACAACCTACATTGAAATTCAAATAAAATGCATAAATAAATAAAATAAAACAACTAAAGTCTGTTTAATTATAAGGGAATAATGCCCTTACTGTCGGGTCATATTATAAAGTGTCACCCAGGATTTCGCAAACTCGCAAGTGACCTCTCAATAGATACGGCCACATTTTAAACCCCTGAGTCTGTGACTGCTCTGTAACGCTACATGGTCAGAAACAGAAGCTGGTTTACTTTGGCAAAGATGCACAGAAAGAACGTAGCCAAAATAACTGTTTAGGTTTTTTTTTTTGTCAGTGACTTTGGTGAGAAGCATTTTGAAGTAAGGGTGGTGTTTCTCCACCTTTAATGAGGCATTGCACTGTTTACTTCAAACTCTCAATCATTTTGTCCCATGGTGCAGTTAGTTTGTGCAGATACCAACATGCTAATCAAACTTGGGTGTGGACTAAAACAACCACATTGAAAGCCTTCGGAGTAGGTGGTCTTGATCTGGTTACAGTTGAACTCCGGAACAGTTAATTTATGGTGCAATTGTGATCCAGTCAAGTTTCTTCTTCCTGTATTTATTTATTTTTTGCTCTTCCCCATCTACTCAGTGGGCACACTTTACTTCTTTCTGTGGGAAAGGAAATTATTGTTTTTTGTTTTGTATGTTTGCATTGGGTGAATTACTGCTGCCCATGTCTTCATTTTTATTTAATTTTATTTGCACACATTAAATCCTTCATGCATTTGTGAGATCTTTGTATTGTCAGAGAAAGAATCACGAATGTATTCAACATCACAACACTAAATGCAAACAGAGCCATACAAAGAGAATGTGCAGCCAAGAGAAGATTAAAAGCACAGAGCCCTAAATAGGTGTCAAGGTGATTACAAGGTGATTACATAAAATATTAATTTGCCTCATTTTTTTACTGCTTGCTGCACTTTCAATTAATTTAGCTGTTTAATAAACCCATCATCCATCCATTTGCTTACGCTTCTCCTTTTCAGGGTCGCGGGGGGCGCTGGAGCCTATCCCAGCTGTCATAGGGCGAGAGGCGGGGTACACCCTGGACAGGTCGCCAGTCTGTCGCAGGGCCAACGCACAGACAGACAACCATTCGCGCTCACATTCACTCGCACAATCACACCGAATGGCAATTTGGATTTTCCAATTAACCTATCCCCACAAGGGTTTAATAAACCCATCTATTAAATTATTTAACTTTTAAAAAAAAATCTTTTTATTCCTTTTTTTCCTCCATCTATTTATTTTTAAGGCATTTTCACTTTGCTTTCAGTGCCAGAAACTTCCAGTCAGTTTATCAGATTCCCGTAGCACTTTTACTTCCACTTTATCAAACAATGGTTTGTTCAAGTCATTGGCATTGGTTGGAAACACCAGATTATTAACTGCAGTTAATTTAATGGATGTTAATAACAGCAGTGGTTTTCTGGAAGTTACACTAAGCTCTTTTGCTATTAGCTCTCTAACATCACCCTATGCTTTCATTTATTCGGGTGTCGTTGTTCCAAAATGGAAATTTGGATTCAGTTTACTCAAAGACGTCAGTACAGAGGTTTTCAAGGCACATGGGGAATGATTTTCGAGTGGACTTTGATTGCAGAGCAGCTTTGCCCTGCGTATTTGGGTTGGCCCTGCATAGGCGTAGCTGAGTTAGGAGAAAAAAAATGTTTTGCTGAGAAATGCAAGCACACTCATGAACAATATAATTTATAGAGAAAATTCAATTACCTGTTTTTAATTTGTTTCTCTCAAATGTTTTTTCAAATCTAAGGGTAAGATGACATGAACCTACATGGCTGTAGGTCTATTTTCTTTTTAATATATTTTCATTCTTATTGACTTCTGTAATGTACAGGGTGAACCTACAGCCATGGACCTTCTGTTGTTTCCCCATCTACAGGGTGAACCATTTATATTATATATAATAAAATGGGAATGGTTGGTGATATTAAAGTCCTGTTTGTGGCACATTAGTATATGTGAGGGGGCAAACTCCTCAAGATGGGTGGTGACCATGGTGGCCATTTAGAAGGCGGCCCATTTTATTATATATAATATAAATGGCCCACCCTGTAGATGGGGAAAAACAGAAGGTCCATGGCTGTAGGTTCACCCTGTACATTACAGAAGTCAATAAGAATGAAAATATATTAAAAAGAAAAAAGATTGCAAGTCAGCTTTTTTCCATGATGCTAGAACATGTATGTGATCTTGAGGAATGAGGCTCCCTGTGCTGCAAATATATTTGCTTCACAAACTCACTGGTTTGCAAAACACAAAACAAGTATTTATTTAACCCTTTAATGCACCCATGTATTTAAATTAGTCTTTCTGAGGTAGCATTAGCAGTAACAGAAGAAGAAGTGGATAGAAACAATAACAGCTGGATAGAGGACATCACAGTCTCTGTGTATTAAAGGCCTTACACCTGCATTACTTTTAAAACCCTCTGGTTGCAAAAAGAAGTATGAATGTATAGAAGAGAAATCAGAAAATAACCCTGTGTTGTTTTGGATTCACGACTTCTCTAATCACTTTCTTGATGTGTTTGTGGTCAGAGTCACTCAATTTAAGCCATTTTGAACACAACTTGGTGTTTAGTCTGTAAATTATGGTCCCACTCAGAGTCAAAATGTAGAATAAAGCAGCTTATGCGTTAGGGTGGGCCCAAGTACAGAGTTTTCGGCTCAGACTCATGGTCATAGCAAGCTAAGATACCCCAAACATTCAGCTTGAAGCGTCAAATCCAGAATATAATTCTAAAATTTGAACACAGTGGGCTGAAACGCATACTTGTCTTAAAACTATTTGGCAGGTTAAGGAAGTATAAAGAAGTAATCCAATCCAAAAAAATGTTCAAATAAATAATGAAATTCCTATTTGCGTACAGCCTGTTTCATTGCATTGTTTTGTAATCAGCCATCCATCCATTTTCTACAAAATCTAATTTATGTGTGTGCAAAAATCATTTTGGTATCTGCTAAAGGCTCAGAGGTGAGGCCCACATTTAATGTCTGAAGTTCTTATGATGAGAAGGTTTGAGAGGAAACGTGCTTTACGCCATGCGTTTGAACTTTGGTTATTTGGACTTGCAGGTGAGAAGTGGAAATGAGTTTCCACCTCTTGTTCAGGCTCTACTTGGTGTGGTCTTGCACCCACTGACACAGCCTGAGGCAGTAAGTCTGTGGACTGACGGTTGAGAAGGACCGACCGGGGTGCCTCAACCTCTTCCACAAATGCTCCAGCCTCTTCTTAAAACTGTAAACTGTGAAAATGTCAATGATGCCGACAAAGTAGCGCTGCTCGGGGCCATCAATGATGTGAAGAGGATTCTTTAAGTTTGGCAGCAAACGTCGGTTTTGGGCTTGGAAGTCTTGCAGCTCAGCCTCGGCGCTTGCTGGCCCAGCATCCTTTGCACATGTTCGAGGAGAGCTGCTCCTTGATGCAGCTTGAGAGTGTGGTGTCTTTAAGCCGCTGTCTGTTTCAGATAAGGATAGGGCAGGGTCCTCGTCCACGACTGCTCCGGGAACTGTGGCTGCATTCATATGGATTGGACTGGAGCCTGGATTCACAGACCTGAAAAGAAAAGCCATACAGATGAGAATGAGTCACTGAAACGGACACCCTAATTGACCCTTTTGTAATTCTTTCAGTCCGGTCTAGACAGATTACAACAGAGTTTAGGGCACCAAGTGAATCCAGACTGAATATACACATTGAATTCTCACGCCATTATACTCATGCATTAATTTCTGAACACCAGGTAACTGATGACTCATTTAGGGTTAAGCCTGGGGCTTGGGTTAGGTTACAGTCTACCATTTTTTATAATATTTATTCAAATTTGAAACAGTTAAAAAGAAAATATGTTAAGAGAATATATAGTCAAAAATCTGAAAGGTAATATCTTTTGGTTTCTGAGAAATGAGCCTAAATAAAAGCAACCCAGAGCAACCCTAAAATTCCACACTGGTTACTGCTGGCCTAATGGGTGTCAAGATGGTAAAGGCAAATATTTCATCCACCACTCCTATAGAAGAATGCACTAAGGCGTGTGGACATGGTTGAAACGACTGCTGGTTGAACATCAGAATGGAAAAAAGGGCTTATTAAATTGACTTGGAACTTGGTGTGGTTGGTGGTGCCAGACAGGATAGTCTGAGTCAGAAATCCTGATCTAATGGAATTTTCACACAAAATGGCAAGGTGCACAGAGAGACAGGGAACCGAATTAAATTTGAGCATGTTTTTTTTTTTTTGTTGCCTGTCCCGTTTGGCTCTTTTGGCATCAGAATTATTGTCTAAAGTCAAAGAAAGATGCCCAACGGATTTACTTTACCAAACTGACCATCCCAGCCTTGCCGTAATGGTCCATTTGATTCACCTTTTATTGTTTATTTTATTTTCACTTGCTGAAT